TGGGAACTACTGGGTTGCTTGATGTCATCACCTGGTAGGCAGAAATGTCAGTTAAATTGCAGAGAAAAAGAAATTGAGGAGGACCTGTTGTGCACAGATTGGTGCACCAAAGATATAGAAACATAATTTACAACTAAAAATTCAAATTTTTGTTTAGTGTGTAAAGGAGTCTTATCTTGATTTTTTTTAAAATCACATTTTCATTGGTATTTTTGTCTGTATGTAAAATAGCTAATCTGCACCACAGAAGAAAGCATATAAACTTTGTTGACATGTTTGTTGTACATTTATGAAGAGTAAGTGTCCTTATTCATTTATACATACATATAGAATAGTTACCTATAATTGGATTTCACAAAAAGTTATGCACTACAGATCCTCCTGTTCAGCTGTTTTTCTCCCGAGTTGGTTTTATAGTGAGACTTGTACATACCTGGTTAAATATGAACGCTCAGTAGTGACTGATGCAGTATGCCTATAGATTCAGAATCTTAATGTAGTCATAGAAAAACATTTATCTAGTGTGATATCGATGTAATAAAAAGCATATACAGAAATGGAATTAGATGCATTTCATAAGATAAGGTCATCAGTTGTAAAGGAAGAATGCAGTTTCTTCAAGGAAAGCTTCTGCTGCTCCAAAGGTTTGGTCTCTTCATCTCCTGGTGCATATTGTAAAGGAGCACCCTGGTCTGATATGATGCAAGTTCTGAATTGAAAGTTAACTATAATTTTATTCATCCCAAATTATGTTTATGAACTAATTGCTCAGAAAACAAGTGTAAATTGTGTGTCTGCTAATCAGGGAAGTGTCATTCCTTATTTTCATTATTTTATAGAGAGTACACTGAAGAGGTCATTTGAATGTGAGGGCATTTGTTTAATAAAACAATTCTGAACATGCTTGTCTCCTCTAGTATTACTTTCTGGCTCTAGTAATGTTTTTGTCAGTACAGTTTTATGGGGAGGACTCAGGGTACCATTAAAAGCTATATACCATTATTAAAGTAAGCGGTCCCTAAATGGGTTTATGAACATAGGCTACAGCTGGGATTTCTGTTCTATACTTTAATAGTAGTTATGCTCAGTTGTTCAGTTTTAGGAGGATGAGAATTCCAGATGGAGATAGAAGGCATTAGTAAGATATAGATGTAAGATGGAACGCACAGTGAAAATTCAGAAATGGAAAATAAGATTTAAGAGTAACATTATAGAATAGACAGCTAAATCTCTTGGTATTAAAGAATTCACCCAACTATAGAAATAAAGGGACTGGGGAGGGAATCCTTTTTCTCACAAAGACCTGTCAACCTGGAGCCCCTAGAAAAAATGTTGGCTCAGCCCCTTCTCTACCTACTACTCTACATTTTCTTTGCTTCTCCCACGTGTCCCCAGAAACGTTCAATGCCCTATCATATTCTCATAGAATAATAGAATCGTAGAAGATGAGGGTTGGAAGAGACCTCAGGAGGTCATCTAGTCCAACCCCCTGCTCAAAGCAGGACCAACAGCAACTAAATCATCCCAGCCAGGGCTTTGTCAAGTCAGGCCTTAAAAACCTCTAAGGATGGAGATTCTACCACCTCCCTAGGTAACGCATTCCAGTGTTTCACCACCCTCCTAGTGAAATAGTTTTTCCTAATATCCAACCTAGACTTCCCGCACTGCAACTTGAGACCATTACTCCTTGTTCTGTCATCTCCCACCACTGAGAACAGCCTAGATCCATCCTCTTTGAAACCCGCCTTCAGGTAGTTGAAGGCTGCTATCAAATCCCCCCTCAGTCTTCTCTTCTGCAAACTAAATAAGCCAAGTTCCCCCAGCCTCTGCTCATAAGTCATGTGCCCCAGCCCCCAATCATTTTTGTTGCCCTCTGCTGGACTCTCTCCAATTTGTCCACATCATTTCTGGGGGGGGGGGGGCACAAAACTGGGCTCAATACTCCAGATGTGGCCTCACCAGCGCTGAATAGAGCGGAATAATCATTTCCCTCGATCTGCTGGCCATGCCCCTACTAATACAGCCCAATATGCCGTTAACCTTCTTGGCAACAAGGGCACATTGTTGACTCATATCCAGCTTCTCGTCCACTGTAATCCCCAGGTTTTTTTCTGTAGAACTGCCGCTTAGCCAGTCGGTCCCCAGCCTGTAGCGGTGCATGGGATTCTTCCGTTCTAAGTGCAGGACTCTTCACTTGTCCTTGTTGAACATCAACAGATTTCTTTTAGCCCAATCCTCCAGTTTGTCTAGGTCACTCTGGACCCTATCCCTACCCTCCAGCATATCTACCTCTCCCCCCAGCTTAGTGTCATCCGTGAACTTGCTGAGGGTGCAATCCATCCCATCATCCAGATCATTAATGAAGATGTTGAACAAAACCAGCCCCAGGACAGACCCCTGGGGCACTCCACTTGATGCTAGCTGCCAAATAGACATGGAGCCATTGATCACTACCCGCTGAGCCCGACAATCTAGCCAGCTTTCTATCCACCTTATAGTCCATTCATCCAGCCCATACTTCTTTAACTTGCTGGCAAGAATACTGTGGGAGACTGTATCAAAAGCTTTGCTAAAGTCAAGATATATCATGTCCACTGCTTTCTCCGTATCCACAGAGCTAGTTATCTTATCATAGAAAGCAATTGGGTTGGTCAGGCATGACTTGCCCATGGTGAATCCATGTTGACTGTTCCTGTTCACCTTTCTCTCCTCTAAGTAGTTCAAAATGGATTCCTTGAGGACCTGCACCATGATTGTTCCAGGGACTGAGGTGAGGCTGACCATCTGTAGCTCACTAGATTTTCCTTCCCTTTTTAAAAGATGGGCACTAAATTTGCCTTTTTGCAATTGTCCGGGATCTCCCCAGATCACCATGAGTTTTCAAAGGTAATGGCGAATGGCTCTGCAATCATATCAGCCAGCTCCCTCAGCACCCTTGGATGCATTAGATCCGGCCCCACGGACTTTTGCATGTCCATTTTTTCTAAATAGTCCTTAACCTGTTCTTTCACCACTGAGGGCTGCTCACCTCCTCCCCATACTGTGCTGCCCAGCATAGTAGTCTTGTCTGTGAAGACCAAGGCAAAAAAAGCATTGAGCAGTTCATCTTTTTCCACATCATCGGTCACGAGGTTGCCGCCTCCATTCAGTAAGGATCCCACACTTTCCTTGATCACCTCTTGTTGCTAACATACCTATAGAAACCGTTTTTTTACCATTCACGTCCCTTGCTAGCTGCAACTCCAACTATGTTTTGGCCTTCCTGATTACACCCCTGCAACTCCGCCACCTTTTCTCCCCCGCGTGTCCTTCCTGAACAGTTTATACCATGACATTGCTCCAGTCCTGTGAGTTATCCCACCAAGTCTCTGTTGTTCCAATCACATCATAGTTCCTTGACTGTGCTAGGACTTCCAATTCTTCCTGCTTGTTTCCCAGGCTTCTTCCATTCATGTACAGGCACCTAAGATAACTAGCCGATTGCCTACTTTCTCAGTATGAATCAGGAGGTCTCCTCTGTTGCACCCTGCTCCTTGTGCTTCCTCCTGGTATCCCACTTCCCTCCAGGCTTAGGTCACCATCCCCCAGCAAACCTAGTTTAAAGCCCTCCTCACTAAGTTAGCAAGCCTGCCTGCAAAGATGCTCTTTCCTCTCTTCATTAGGTGGATCCCATCTCTTCCTAGCAATCCTTCTTCCTGGAACCACATCCTATGGTCGAAGAATCCAAAGCCCTCTCTCCTACACCACCTGCGTAACCACTCATTTATCTCCACAATTCGATGGTCTCTACCTGGGCATTTTCTTTCAACAGGGAGGATAGACGAGAACACTACTTACGCCTCAAACTCCTTTATCCTTCTTCCCAGAGCCACGTAGTCTGCAGTGACCCACTCAAGGTCATTCTTGGCAGTATCATTGGTGCCCACGTGGAGAAGTAGGAAGGGGTAGCAGTCCAAGGGCTTGATCAATCTCGACAGACACTCAGTCACATCCTGAATTCTAGCTCCAGGCAAGCATCACACTTCTCGAGTTTCCCGGTCTGGACAGCAGATGGATGACACTGTCCCCCTTAGGAGGGAGTCCCTGACCACCACCCGTCTCCTCCTCTTGGGAGTGGTGGTCATGGAACCCCCATCCCTAGGACAATGCATCCTTTGCCTTCCAGTCTCCTTCTGATCTCTTCCCTCAGATAACTCTTCCAAACCATTCTCTACCGTAGTACCTGTGCAGAGAGCCTGAAAACAGTTTCTTTCCTCTATCTGCATTGTGGGTACATGGGCTTCTCCTCTCTTCTTCTGGAGGTCACATGCTGCCAGTTTTCTTCCCTGTTCTGCACTGTCCTCTCAGATTCTTCAGCATGCTGAGCCTGCAGTACCAAACGCTGACTTCTATCCAGAAAGTCTTCATTTTCTCTGATGTAATGCAGGGTAGATACTTGGGTCTCTAGTCCTATTTCCATTCTTTTTAATGTCTCCCTCTGTGGCCTCATCACACATTCACCCATCTACATTTGCTCCCGGTTTCTTTACTCTGCAGCTCACCTCTTGCTGGAAAACAGCCACCAGTTTGTGAGTGGGACCTCCACTTCAAACCCTGCCCTCACCCCCTCTGCACATGCCATGTTTTTGTGAGTTGGGTGCTAGGATTTGTGCACTGACAGAAGTTCAGGGGCTTGGGAAGGGAGCAGTATCCTCAACAAAGAGGCTGCTTTGCTCTCAGGTGATGGTCATGTTGAGTAAGAAGCTCTGCAGCCTGCTGTTTTGCTCACTCTCCTGTCCAGAAATTCATTTGCCCCGAGCAAGTGGGTTTTTGAAGCTTTGCATTATCCTAAAGTCACAAAAGATCAGCCGAAACAGGGCTGTAATTATATATTTCTTTTATGCCTCGGAGGCTTCTGTTCCTGATCCTTTTTGGTTTGTTTGTTTTGTTTTTTTTAAGGCAATGAGCATTTATTCATGGCTACAAAAAAAAAAAAGCAATAAAAAACGGGAACTTGGGTGCCAACCCTGGGTTCCCCTCCCAGCATCATCTCTTCAAGGGGACCAGTACCCCAGGAATTTCCTGTGAGCTCTGCAGAAAAAAATCTCCTCTCAGTCAGATTTGTCCCTGGAAAACTTCTCATTGAACTTCTCCTTTATCTTCTGGAATTGCTCAGAGAACCAGTGTCGGGTCTTTTCGCTGAACTTGCTGTGACGCAGTTCTTGGAAGGCAGCTTTGGTTTTATCTGCAATGCTGTCAGCAAAGGCCTGTAGCCTGTTCTGGAACTTCTCAAACTTTTCGGACAGGGTTGGCTCTGTCGGTTGAGCCAGAGCAGAGTCTGCCAGGACTGTCAGAGCCACAAGGATCAGAGTGATGGACACTGCGGGCCGCATGGTCACTGGGCTTGGTGTGTCCTGCAGCTAGGGAGATACTTGATCCATAGTCATAATTTTAAGCATTAGGGGCTAGAGTCTGGCTTTTCCAGATACTGTTCATAGTAGATTTTTTTGAAAAATCGATGGGGAGGGGGAATTTTCTATTTCTCTTTTTGCAATGGTTCTAGTCTTATACTAGTGTACTGCTTTTTACATTCTAAATGTGTTTATTGCTGTTAGCTTTCTTTGCAGAAAGCAAATTCATAACACTTTCTCAATAGTCCTTTTTGTAAAAGACTAACCTAAATGCGCAAACCCTTCAGTTTTATTTGTATTAATTTTTTCAACTTTAGTTTTCATTTTTCCAAATATCTTCCCCCCCCCCCCCCAATATTTTCCGTGTAAAATACTCACTGTAGAAAATAGTGTGAGAGAGATTGAAAAGATGGGATTTTGATCATTACAAAATGTAATATCCTCAGTTTGTATTAATTTGACAAGTGAATCAATTCATCTGCGCTTATATATGCTAGTCCCTTGCAAAAAGAGATTTAAATTGACTTTGTAAATTGACTTTGTTGGAAAACATTTTCCTTGTAAAACGCAGTGCAAAGTACAACTCACATTGCACGTTAATGCTGTGTTGAGTGCTATGCATGTCAGAGGCCCAAGTATATGATGTAATAGTAGTTATTACCGCTTTTTGTCCCTGTGGATCAGCAAGATATTTATTGTAATATTCAAGTTAAAGTAATACACCCCAGCAGTTTTCACACACTTCAAAGAATGGGTTTGCACATTAAAAATACTGATATTTCATAGAATCATAGAATATCAGGGTTGGAAGGGACCTCAGGAGGTCATCTAGTCCAACCCCCTGCTTAAAGCAGGACCAATCCACAAGTTTTTGCCCCAGATCCCTAAATGGCCCCCTCAAGGATTGAACTCACAACCCTGGGTTTAGCAGGCCAATGCTCAAACCACTGAGCTATATATTAAATGCTTTTTTCTTTGATTAGGTGTTCTTTTTTGATGGTATATTTTGGGAGTAGTTGTATATTGGAGAAGAGGAGTGAATCCTGAAAATGTTATATTTTATGAAGAACAGAACAGGGTAATGAATTAGGGGTAACATTTTTTTCTGCAGCTATTTTTTTTGCTAGTTAACATTTTCAAATACTTCTGTGCTAATTTAAAAATGGCTTTGAATTTTCTTTAATTTCATTTGTCACCTGTGTGCGCCAAATAAGAAATGTTAGTTTGGCTTTTTTAGTAAATCTTTTTTTAAAAAATGTGCTCATTGCTGAGACCTTTCTCTTTGGCTGGGGCTCAGGCTTCTGTATTTAGGCTTCCCCTTACAGTAATCATTATAGAGTTCTGCATGCCAGTAGTCTGATACATAATGTAATTGTATTCCTTGATGAGACATGAAGAAGTGAACCAAAATGAGTCATCTTCTCCTCTTAAAAAGAAAAGGAGTACTTGTGGCACCTTAGAGACTAACAAATTTAGTTATAATTTAGTCTGTAAGGTGCCACAAGTCCTCCTGTTCTTTTTGCGAATACAGACTAACATGGCTGCTCCTCTGAAACTTCTCCTCTTCAGGCTTTGTGAACATATTACTGTGATCAGCCGCAGCTCCTGAGCTGGAACTTCACTTCTGTGAGAGGGGCCAGTTGGCAGGGCATTCTCTGGGAGAACCCCGCACTTTGAAACTCGCTTATTTCTCTCGCTTCCTCTCCCTCCCCCGCTTCCAGTTTATTGACTTTCAGGGCATGTGGAAAGACCCTTCTGTCTTCCCTTAGCTGTGAGGGATTGCGAGGACCGGTGGGAGATTGTAAAGATCTAAAATACGTTTTCAGCTCCTGGGTTAAATGTTACGTATGAGAGGAAGGGGGTTCTTAGAGTAATCTATATGTATAATTAATTGCATGTTTTAAATGTGTCAGGGAGCACCCAGATCCTCCTTTTTATGGAATATGTATACAAATCAAAATAAATGTCTGACCGAGATTGCTAAGATAGGTGAGGTAATATGACACTCCTTTCGAACAGCAGAACTCAGGCCGTAGTGTGCTGCCTTGGAAGATTTCTCCTCTCTATTAACCCAAGATTTCTAAAGTTGCTTTCAAACCTAGTTTTCCTGTATGGCAACATTATATCTTGAGATAATTAATCATTATTTGGGTAACAACCACCTCCCCTCTATCTCATTCAACTAAAAGCTGACAAAACATGACTACCAGAGTAATTTTAATCTTTGAGTCAAGCCATGAGTTGAAACTAGCATCTTTCAGAAGGGAAAAGCTAGGGCATTAATTAATTCTGCTGTCTAGTCCTATCAGCTAGTTTTATGCAAGTAAACTGCTGCAGGCTAGGAAACACTTTTTGCTGAAATTTTTAAGTTATTTCCAAAAATGTGTATGTATATTAAAAATATCTTTTATAAAATTGAAATCAGTTAAAAATGCTTAAGGAATGCCTATATGCAAGTTTTTTAAAGTTGATGTGCAAGTACATTTTCTTGTGGGGAATGAATGATTTTAGAATCTTACCGTGTGGAGTGTTTATGTTGAATTTTCTAATTACAGGATATAAAAGCAAGTTCAGGCTAGGCCTACCAGTTATAGTTTGAAATGAATGTATGATCTGCCCTGGTAACCACTGCTCATGAACATGTCAGTAAAATCAATACCATCTGATAGCATTTCAGCCTCTTCCCCTTTTTCTCTTTTTTTATTAATATAAAAAAGTGGTGGACTGGGTATTGGGATGAAGCAGAATTGCCACATCAGCTGTCTTCTTTGGACTTGCATGTGAGAAACAGATATGATTGGTCAGCTGATTTTAGAGGCACTATCTTGGTTGTATTACTAAAAGACAGAACTTGAAAATGTAACTGGACACCTGCTAGCTAGAGAGATATGCCTGTCAGCCATGGCCTGATAAGGAGCATGATCGTATTCAGGAGAGAGGGAAAAAGAGTCACTAGTGAGATTGACAGGCAACACCATCATGAGGAACCTGGTGTCCTGTCCTGGCCCTTTGGAGTGGGGAAGATGCTGGGATTCCCAACAGAGCATCATCACTGGACCCTACTCGGGGTTTTGATCGTGGATTCCTGCTATCTAGACACTGGTACAAAGGACATTTGAAGCACTTCTTCCCCACCAAAGCTGATAGTGTTATCAAGCATATGTGTGAAATTTAAGTGCATCTTGTCAATTCCACTAATGCATACAGAGTTGAGAATAGTTGGTTGAAAAAGAAACAAAATGTTGCCTAAAGATTCTATTTAAATTCAAAAACTTTTGCTTCAAACTTTTCTAAAATAACTTATTTTGGAGGGCATTTTTAAACCATTTTTGGTTTTCAGTCTCTTGGTTCAACCTTTCCTCTTCTCTTTTTTTCTGTTTTTTCCATTTTGTCGCTGAAAAAGGAAATGAGGAAAACCAAATAAAAAAAGCCCAACAATGTTTTAGTTTTCATTGGGGAGAAAAACTGAAAATTTAAAAAAAATTTTCACCAAATTAGCCTTTTCTCAAAAACAATCTTTAAAAAAAAATTTTTTTTTCCTTCAAAAATGTTGATTAACTCCAGTAGTGAATCTGTGAAACAGATCTGTGAAACAGACCTTTTGTTAATTTCACTGCCCAGAAATTGATGGCTTGGCTCACCAACTTCAATATGCCCTAAAGAAAGGGTTTTTTTGTTTGTTTTTTTAGCTTCCACTTTGAGTTGATTTTTCAGTCCTTGTTAAGATGTTAGGTAACATTTTCAAACGGCCTACGTTCCATTTTCAAAAATGACCTAGACTCTTAAAGTTCTATTGATATTGAATGGGCAAACTATTTTGATGAAATTTATACGTATATAGAAATTGTAGGATGTGTAAAGGATGTTGTAAACTTATTGCACTTATCTCATTAAGAAATAGTGCCATCTAAATTTGTTTAGAGGAGTCATTTTCAACCTGTGGTCCACGGACCCCGGGTGTCCACAGACGATGTCTAAGATTTCCAAAGGGGTCCACAGCTCCATTTGAAATTTTTTAGAGGTCCACAAATGGGAAAAGATTGAAAACTACTGGTTCTCAACCGTTCCAGACTATGTACCTCAGGAGTCTGATTTGTCTTGTGTACTCCAAGTTTCACCTCACTTAAAACCTACTTGCTTACAAAATCAGACATAAAAATATGGACGTGTTATCGCATGCTATTACTGAGAAATTTCTTAGTTTCGCATTTTTACCATATAATTATAAAATAAATCAATTGGGAATATAAATATTATACTTACATTTCAGTCTGTAGTTTATAGAGCAGTATAAACAGTTCATCTGTATGAAATTTTAGTCTGTACTAACTTCACTAGTTCTTTCTATGTAGCCTATTGTAAAGCTTGGCAAATATTTAGATGAGTTGATGTACTGCCTGGATGACCTCTGCCTACCCCCAAGGGTATGCATACCCCTCGTTGAGAACCGCTGCTTATAGAGTAGCTTCTATGGAGGTCAAGTCTACCCGTTTGTAACTGCTAAACTATTTTCAAGTTAAATACTTGTTTCTGGCTTACTGCTTCAGAACTTCATTTCATTCTCAAGAAGATAGATTGTCTTAAAATCTTTCAGTTTAAAATAAATGCTTATTAATCAACCATTTCTTGTTAAATGGCAGGTGAATCAAATAACAAAGATACCAATTATTTTAAATTGTGTGTACATTGCTTCACAAAAATATCCATAGCAGACTGTTCGTTGTGCTGTTAACTGCCTCCCTTCTTAAAATTTTATCATATAAATTTAATTTATACTTTTTGTTTGGAATCTGTGCGCAGCTGGGGAATATTACATAAACAAATATATTTAATCATAGTACTTCATCTGAAGTGTTCAATTTTTTCTCACAATGATAGCACATCTACTGAGATGAGTCAGAAACTTTATCATGCTTATGCTGCTTACCTGGGTTTTTACTTCATGCAAAGACTAGAACACTATAAATAACATTGCCTCTAAAGGATTGTACGGCTCATACTGGCATTGTGATGGCGTATTGATTCTTTCTATAACGTTTAAAATTGCTTGCATGCCTCCTAGCAGTGAATACATATATAATAGATTCAATATGAGATTA